GGGTAGATGTGCTTAAATGATTTTTTGGCTAAGTTCAAGGGTTGAATTGATTTTTTTTAGAAAGTTTAAAGACTTAATTATTTTTTTAGAAAAATTTCAAAATTATTAAAATATAAAATATAAACAATTATTAATATATTTAATATATTAAATATAAAATTACTAAAAAAATCAAATTATTAAAAAAATAGTTTAAGAAACAAATTGAGCGTAAAAAAATTTAGGACCATATTGATTTTTTTGGAAACTTATTTTTATTTTTCATAAATAATTTTTTAATTTTACGACCAAACATAATTTTTTAACATTTTTTATTTTCTAAGAAAATAAAAATAAAAATAGCTTATATTTTCTGGGATCAAACGAACCCTCAATTTTTTAAGTTAACTTTTGTTTACCTCCATTTATTATTCTTAATTTTTAAATTTAAATACTTAATAGATACTTGTATCTTAATCTTAATTTTATCTCTAACTATATGTAAACATAAACATGAAAAATTCTAAACATATGTATTAGTATTTTACAGTATTAAAAATATTCATATTTTTTATATTATAAAACATTTATTTCATCTTTTATATATTATACAATCCTTATACTTATTATTAAAATATTAGTATAAAACGTATTCCAATAAAATATTATAAATGCTATTTAAAATTTAAATTAATTAGTAATATTAGTTGGTAGTATGTCGTTTCTTTGCCTTGTGGCAATTTGCATATGATAAATTTTCAGGCAATGCGGACTACTCTGGTGAATGTGTGGCACTCAATTAGGTAGGAGTGTTCATTCTGTTAAAACGGTGGTCGACCGAACCAAATTACTATTAATCGAATTAATCAAACTTTTTTTTTCTTTAACCGTTAACCAAACCGAACTTCTTTTTGAAAATTTTAACCGAACCGAATAAATTTCGGTTAATTTCGAATTAACTTAAATTTTTTTAAATTTTCTAATTTATATAAAAATTGAATATTTTTGAATTAAAAAAACAATTTACAATTAATTTAAATAATATATAATTATAAAATAAAAATTTTATATGAATTTTTTAATTAATTAATATTGATTTAGGTTTAAAAGTTATTGGATATTAAATTATTAATTAAGTTTTAAATAGTTTGAACTGAGCCCATATGTTATATATAATATATTTAAAATTTAAAATTTAATTTCGGTTAATTCAGTTAATTAGCCGTTAACCGAGTTCTAAAAATATTATTAATCGTTCTCCAACCGAACTAATTCGGTGATCGACCGAATTAATCGAATTAATTCGATTCAATTGATTAATTCGGTTAAAACTGAAAAATAAACACCCCTACCCTCTTCCGACTCTTTCACGAGATTGATGCGGATCAGATTGATTAGGAGTGTTTGGTATTTTAGTTCGTATCTTTTGGTGTTGCGTTGAACGCATTATGGGGAGGATCCGAGGACGGTGGATTTAATTAGTAATAATTTCTAGTGTTTGGTTAACAATATTCTTGTGGGTTTTATTTTGGAACAGGTGGCGAAACAGTTTGGGAATTTCCTGGGTAAATTCAAAGAGTATGATATCAGTGCTTTGTCTTTAGGATACAGAGGCTATATGCGAATCAGAGTGGCGTTAGATGTTCGAAAGCCTCTAAAGAGAAGGAAAAAGCTTGCTATGCCAAACGGGTCTTCGAATTTTGTTAGTGTCCAAAATGTAAATTTTGAATGTTTAGTGGTTAAAGTATAAAGTTTGGAAAGTTGAGGGGATCAAAAGGGTAATTTCCAAAAGTTTAGAGACTGAAAGAGTAATTTTCAAAAGTTAGGTGTTTTTACCTCATAATGAATAGTTCACCCCCAAGAATAACGTTTTGGTGGGAATGAGATTTTTTATCTGGAATTTATGTTAAAAACTATAAAGTGTTAAAGTTCGGTAAAAATTCGGTAAATCGAATCGGATAGAAATTTTGAGAAAATATGAAGAGTGATAAATTATGGTTGAAAATATTATTTCCACATTTTAAAATGATGAAAAACAATATGGAGCATTGGAAATATTATTTCCACATTTTAAATTTCTTGAGAGTATCCATATATGTTTCTAGAAGAGTTACCTAGATTATCTCCCGATTGAGGTGTAGAATATAAAATAGAGATGTTATCGGGTACTATGTTTTTTATATAGTTTCGTATGGAATAGCTCCGACTGAGCCCAAAAAATTTAAGGTTTAGTTATTAGAATTGCCAAGATCAAGTATTTACAAGATCAAGCATGTTATCTGGGATGCACCGATGTTAATTGTGAAAAAGAAAAATGAGTCTATGCAATTATGCATAGATTATTGTCATTCAAAAATAAGATAATAGTGAAGAATAAGTTTCCTCTTCTAAGGATTGATGACCTTCTAATCAATTAAAAGGTGTAATGATATTTTCTAAAATTGAACTTCGATTTGGAATGTTATCCGTTAAAGATTAAGGAAGATCTTCCTAATATGGTTTCAGTATTCAATATAGATATTACAAGTATGCGGTAATGTCGTTTGGTTTAACGAATGTTCCTACATCATTTATGGATTTGATAAACCGAGTATTTTAGTTATATTTGGATTAGTTAGTGATAGTGTTCATTGATGATAACTTGGTCCATCTTAAGATTTAGAAAGAATATAATGTGTATTTTTGCATAATTCCCTCAACTCTTCGAGAGAAAGAGTTCTATGTTAAATTGACAAAGTGTGAATTCTGGTTGTTTAAATTTGTATTTCTTGGCCATGTGATCTTAGCAGAGGGGATAAGAATAGACTTCAAGAAAGCACAAACTATAGTTGAATGATAAATTCTAAAGAGTGTTTCCGAGATTTGAAGTTTCTTAGGACTTGTTGGTTACTATTGAAGGTTTGTAAAGAACTTTTTGATGATTTTCTTTCCTTTGACCAAGCTATCGAGAAAAGACGTGTCATTCATTTAGACTAATAAATGACAAGAAATTTTGAGACATTAAAGAGAATATTGATAACAGCCTCGGTGTTAATGTAACCCAATATGGAAAAGATTGTATGATTTATAGTAATGCATCTCATAACGGTTTTGGGGATATGCTTATGCAAGATGAAAAGTTATGGCTTATGATGGGTAGCAATTAAGAATCATGAAAGAAATTATCTAACTCATGATCTAGAGTTAGTAAGAGTTGTGTTCATTTTATAAATACAATGCTATTATTTATATGGTGAGTGATGTTATATCTATGTGGATCTAAAAAATTAAAGGTATGTGTTAAATTGAAGGAGTGATAATAAAGGAAATGGATTGAATTCCTTAAAGAAAGATGATATGCGTATCGACTACTATAAGGAAATATTAACGTGGTGGGTAATGTGATAAAGCCGAAAGACATTTATGTTCTAAGAGTTTTGAATATGTGATTGTCTTTAAAGAAAGATGGTGCCTTGATTGCATAATTAAAGTTAAAGTCTATGTTGCTAGACCAAGTAAAGGATATTCAAAGAAAATATGAAAATTGTTGTTCTTGACAAAGATAGAACAAGTGGAAAAAGTTGAAACCAAAGACCTTGAAGTTAAGTTTGATGGATGTTTGTATTATCGAGGAAAGAATTGATATTAATAACAGACATGAAAACAACTATCACCGAGTTTGTTTCTAAATGCCTGATATCTCAACGAGTTAAAGTAGAACATCAAGTACCTTCTAGATTGTTGTAACTGATTTCCATCCCTTAGTGGGAATAGTAATGAGTTACAATGGACTTTGTAACAAATAAAAATTATTTAAGATAATCTCAAGATAGCTGCCGATCAATAATAGCCCTATTTAGATTTGAAAAGAAAAACGATATTCTATTAATGTGGTGATAAGTGTTTTTTAAAGTATTGATCAGATCTTTCTCATGTTATCACACCGGAGGATATTAAGATCCAGTCAGAATTTGACTTATGAAATAAGTACTTATTGAAGTTCATTAGAGAAATCAAAAGTTGAAAAGCTAAATGGAAATGAGAACATGATAAGAAAAAACATTGTTTTCATCTATCAACATTATGTGCATATTGAAAATTCGAGGATGGATTTTCTTAAGGGGGACGAATTGTAATACCCCAAAATTTTGGTCAGTGACCAAAATGTAAATTTTAAAAGTTTAGTGGTTAAAGTATCAAGTTTGAAAAGTTAAAGGATCAAAAGGATAATTTTCAAAAGTTTAGAGACCAAAAGATTAATTTTCAAAAGTTAAGGGATCAAAAAGGTATTTCAAACATTATTCTTCTCCTCAAATTTGTTTTTAATGACATCAACTCACAATCGATGAAATCCATCTAATAGTTCGACGTTCTAATACTCTAAATTCTATGATGGTTGTTTGATGAGACTGGTTTCAATGTATATTGTTTGTCTTGTTAAGAGAATGCTTCTAATTGTTCAAGTTTCAAACAAATACCTCAAATTTCTCAAATCTAAGAAAGCCTCAAACCCCCAAAACAATATATTTTTGGTGTTTAATTTTATAAGTTTTAAAGAATCTGAAAAATCTAATCTGACAAAGTAATAGAAGACGATGAGACAAATTCACCAAATGATCATAAAAAATTATTTTCGATGATAACTAAAATTAAGAGAACTCTTAATTTTATTAACAAAAAAATTAATTTTTGATTTTTATGTGAGCATTCATCAGCTCCATGTCAATACTAAATTATCACGTCATCGGTCAAGTGCTTACATCAAAACTAAATTTAAAAATTTTAATATTAAAATTAACTTTTTTTGAATTAAAAGGGAAACAAATAACATCAAGCTCTTATGTAAGGAGGACTTTGAGAATCTCTCATGAGAAACCCTAAAACATTCGAGGAAATTATAGAAAAGGAGTGTCTGTAACCTTCAATAACAAGTTGGAGACATAATTCAACCCAAACTCCCATAGCCCAATACCACTTATAAGTCCAATATATCAAATAAAGATGGAAAAAACCCCAATAACAAAGAAAAAACTAGGGTTTCTCTTCTCTGCTATTGCTGTCGTCGTCGTTTTCCCTCAGCTTATTTTTGCTAACATTCAACAATGGCAGCTAGTTCGACGGCGAGGTCTTTCCTTCAAGTTGCAGCCACGGAAGAGGTCGTTTCGCCTCTCCGAGTTGTTCAGATCGAAGGGCTGGTATTCATCCGCTCACTCTATTTCGTTCTCTTCTGATTTATATGTTTTCTTATCAATGGATTTTTGCATTTTTAGGCTATCTTAAAAATAATCAAGCACTGCAAGGAGTTTTCACCGGCTCTGGTTACCGGCCAGCTTCTCGGTTTAGATGTTGGCAGTGTCCTTGAAGTTACTAACTGTTTCCCTTTCCCGGTAATTTTGCTGTTCTCCTTTAACTTCCCCCTTTTGAATTTTTTTGATATGTTTCTGTTTTAAACTGGAATGTTTTGATTATTGGGATAGATCCGCGAGGAGGACGAGGAGATTGAAGCTGATGGAGCTAATTATCAGCTCGAGATGATGCGATGCCTGAGGGAGGTTAATGTTGATAACAACACTGTTGGATGGTAATGTCTCGACTATTTTTGTAGTTCAACTGCTAGATACACTGCTTTTGGAGCCGAGACTAACATTTTTTTGTAGTTGACGGATGTTGTCCTTGATACTTGAGGAATTAGGTATCATGATGCTTTTTATGATTTCGAGTTCTTGATAATTCTCATACTGTTAATAACCAATGGCGAAGCCAATCTTGTTGTATGCATAGTATCTTAATTGGTATATACCGTATATTTAATTTATTCAAGTGATTTGTACTTTGGTCAATGGTTATGTACTTTGAACATCTGTTTCATGTGGTGATCTATGCCTTGCGTATTTTCAGGTACCAATCAACGATTTTGGGTTCATATCAGACAGTCGAGCTCATCGAGACCTTTATGAATTATCAGGTAAAGTAAACATTTTTAACATTATTTGGTGGCAATGAATGTGTGATGAACGTGATTGCTTTGTGTTCCTTTCCATTTAAACTCACTTGTCAAAGTTTAGTTCTTCAGTTATTTACCTGCTTAATTGTTAAACTGTGTAGGAGAATATAAGGAGGTGTGTGTGCATTATCTACGATCCTTCAAGGTCTAATCAAGGTGTCTTGGCTCTCAAGGCTTTGAAGCTATCTGATTCTTTTATGGAACTTTATCGGACTAATAACTTTACTGGAGAGAAGTATGATATCTCACTGCTGTCAAAATTTTAGGAATATGAATTTCGTGTGCTCTCATATTGATCGTCTTTCATTTTTATAGGTTGAGGGAGAAAAACTTGTCATGGGTGGATATTTTTGAGGAAATTCCTGTAAGTTTCTACTGCCTTGACTGTTTACTAGTTTGAAGAAGTAATGCAATCCAACATTGCAACCACATTTTCCTTTATTATTATTTCTTATGATAATGAAACATTAGTCGACTAGATATACAATGAATAATCAATTATTGAGTACAGGGTACAGTGGAATATTGAGTATTTCCACAGTTTTCTTGTATGATACTTGAAATGTCACTGATAAGCTAGTGTATTTTCAATGTAAACAATCATGGTTCTCACTTTCGTGTTAACGTTTGTGTTGTTTTTGTACTGCAGATCAAAGTATCAAATTCTGCTCTTATCAGTGCCTTTATGACTGAACTGGAATCTGATACACCAGTCGCACAGGTGAAATATAAATTGTTTATCAAGTGGTTTTTACCTATACCGTTGTAGAAGATTTCGTATCTGTGAAATTTTCCTTCTAACTTTACTTTTCCATTTTAGTGTGATTATGACCGTCTACAATTGTCAAGTAATCCTTACATGGAGAGGAATATGGAATTTTTGATTGAATGCATGGATGATTTGTCAATGGAACAACAGAAGGTATCTATTCCCGTTTCTCCAATATTGCATTGCTATCATTGCTGCTATTTTATGATTAACATAAATTGCCATTCCCTTATTTTTTCTTTTTGCAGTTTCAATTTTACTACAGGAATTTGTCACGTCAACAAGCCCAGCAACAGGCATGGCTTCAGAAAAGAAGGTAGTTTACTTGATCTCTATGCTACTTGACTCTTTAAATTCCTTGAAAGTCCATCTAGGACCTTCCATATACATGGAAAACTTAGAAAAAAATATCTTCCTAGGAAGAGGAACAAAATAGGAGGTAACAAAATTGGTTTCCAGTTATGATGATCTAGAAATTCTGGGGCACAACATGAAGTTTTCAAGTAGAATTGGTTGAATTCCTCACATTTTTTTAAGGATTTTGAGGGTAATAATTAAAAAGCTTGAAGCTGCCTCCATTTTACCTTTTGGATGAAGTAGATTTTGTTGTGTCAAAAGTCTTCATATTGTGCTTTTGTTTTCTTAGTTCACCAAAGTTTATGTATTTTATCTTTTTTGTCAATGTAGGTCTGAGAACATGGCACGAAAGGCTGCTGGGGAGGAACCATTGCCTGATGAGGACCCCACAAATCCCATCTTCAAGCCAATCCCTGAGCCTTCACGATTGGAGAGCTTTCTCATAACAAATCAAATTGCTAATTACTGCAACCAAATCAACGGGTATGTTTTCTGTTCTCTATCTTACCATTTTTTTCTGGATAGCCTCATAACAAAATCTCCCACAGTTTGCATTTTGAAATCAATGCGGGTTTTAATGTATATTTTCAACTTGTATCTCTGGTTTTTGTTTTCCCTTGTAATTCCTTTCTTTTAGACAAGAGTCACTGCCTAGTGTAACATAACCAAAAAAATGGCTCTATGTTAATTTCCCTTGACAATTCCTTCTGTAATGGCATTGTTCATTTACTTATCGACTCCTTGATGTTTAAATTATGCATTTTCATATTGATTTGCTACTTCAATCATCTCGGTTGTCGTAATTGTGTTATAATCATATCACTATGAATTCTACCTTGTGTGTACTATTGTGTTCTACCTCGAGGCCGTTACCTGGGGATATGAAAGGGTTTTAAATACTGGGAGTTAAACCCCAAACCTACTGTCTGCATGAACAAATTTAACTGAAGTCCAGGACGGGTACTAGTACTATTAAAAAAGTTTCAGACCCAAAAAGAAAAATATCCTATAACCTTTGGATATGAAGTATTACGGTCTCTGATCTTCTAATTGAAATGTGATGGGAAGAAATGCACTGCGATCATGATTCCTTCGGTAACTTACCATTGTTTAAATCATTTTGCAGTGTTGCTGGGCAGAGCTTTAATAGATTGTATTTAATGAAGTCGTTGCACGATAACTGATCCGGAAACATCGCAGCATCGCCCCCTGCAATGTTTGCAGGTATGAAATATGCATCGTGGAGATTAGCTAAAAGCTTTTGCAGTGTCGGAGTATAATTATAATTTTTATTTGAAGATGAATGTGATTGAATTGTTTTTCAATGCCGTTATGTTTCACGTTTAATCCATTATCTCATACACCTATTTTATGAATGGTGGAATGGAATCTTTGAATACAATTAGTTGTATTTCACCACTGTCGTCGGTTGTCATCATTAATAATCGATGGGTTTAAAATTCAGTTTATTTGTGCATGTATTACAATTAAGGTGTTCATAATTCGGTTAAAATTCAACCAATCGATCGAACTAAAATTTTGGTCGGTTAATTGGTTGGTTAATTTTGGGTTTGAACGGTTAATGGTTAATGAATATTTTTTAAAATTTTGGTTATTGGTTAATTTTGTTTGAAATTGATTAATTAATTGACCAATTAATTTAATTGAGTTTGTTTCAGTTAAATTTTATTTGAGAAAATTCTGTTTGATTAATGGATAAAGAAAAAAAAATGATTTATAAATTTTGAATAATTCAGTTTAGTTGGTTAACAGAATTTATTGTTATAAATTAATCATTACTTTTTTATGAGATAAAAAGATTCGGTAAAGCAATTTGTCGTTCTTTTTTTGTACACATCAAACTAAAAGATGATGTCATCACTTAAATATAAGACTTGCTATCTTTACATTTTCTTCAAATCCACAATATCAACATGTTCAAACTGGGAAGATGATGTCATCACTTATATATAAGTACAGGGATGATAATAGTATCATATAATAATATTTTTTAATTAAAATTGATTTGAAAATAACAACAATTCAATAAGGTAATGTACTTATATCATACATGAAAAATATCTAATTGGATTTACAGAATTTGACATTTTTTTTATAAAACAAACATTAAATTTGTGTTTATGAGAATTAAAGGAGTGAACTAGAAACTCTGAGGATCCAAATGCCGCTACGAACGATAAAAGATTTTGGTTAAATTCAAAAGTTAAATTGATATTTTATTTAAAGTGTAAGAGTCAACTTAATATTTTATCTAACACTTAAATGTCAAATTAGTATTTTATTTAAAATTTAAGAGTCAAATTAAAGAAAATAACTTATTTTATTAATATGTCACGTCATCAAATTAGGTGATCAAAACATTATACAACAAATTGAGATAACTCACGAGTCGAAGCAAATTGAGATATGGAATGCGCGGCCACATTGGCCGATCTCCTGATAATTTCCACGTGAAGATGTCCATGCTCCTTCAACAGCCGACGTGCTTCAACCAGACGATAACCCACCGTTGACATATCCAGTTGTGAGGTGGTAAATTGACGGACAACATTTGCCGCATCACTCTCAATGTGTATCCGTGGATGGTTCAACTCATTTGCTAAGCGCAATCCATAAATTACGGCAAAAGCTTCCGCCACCTTTGCATCGGAAATCATTGGAAGGAGCAGACAAGAGAGCAGACATAAACATTGATCTTGATAGTATCCACTGGAGGTTTACGCCATTTCTCTGTCGAAGTTGCTGGTGTCTTTATCTCCTTCCCAAATAACGCCATCGCCATGTCGTAAGATGCAAGCAGTGCCTTGCTTGAAATCACCACGTGCCAATCCGGTAGTATTCATCCTTTATGAACTTTAACATTGCATCGATATCACACCTCGTACAATAACACCGACAATAATCGGAAATCATTTACCAACAGCAACGATGATAAGAGGGATAACCATTAACCAACCAATACAAGAAGGATATGGTGCAAATACAGCGGGGGCATTTACTCCAAGCGCTGTATAGATGGGGAGAGTGGCCGCACAGTCACGGAAAGCATGTAAACAAGTTTCTGTATGGAGGCTGCACAGCGGACAGCAACCATTCGAAAAACCGGCCAACTGGAGCCGACTCCCAATCGGAAGCGCCTCATGAACTAATCTCCAACCAAAAATTCGAACCTTAGGTGGAACAGCCAGACGTGAAAGAAACAGCTATAGAGGTAACATCGACATAGAAACCGACCCTTGATGCATTAAATAAAAATACCCCGAATGTACCGAGTAGCTCCCCGATGAATGACCGCTCCAAATATGGGCCTCTTACTGAACTGGGGCTATAGCACACTGTAGAATTCTACTTGCATCTTCCGGATTGAATACGGCTTGCACTTTAGCAACATCCCATTGTGCTGAGTTTTGAATCATGAATTCACCATAGCGAACTGGATTGCCAGCAGTGTCGACATAAGAGGCCGATAATCGAACTTGATGAGATCCTCCCCAACTGTCTTCAAACATTCGAACGTAACTGTCTTGGCCAATCCGCTAATGAAAACTGTCCTTTAGAGGAAGCATGGTTGTGAAGATGCCTTGCCAAGCAAAGGATGGTCGATCTCCAAGTTGAGCGGAAAGGATATCCCCATGCGTAAAATATTTGGCCCCAAAGACTCTCGCCAATAAACAGTTCGGAGAATTGATTCACTACCACTCTTGCTTGCCGGTATATAAGGAAGCAACCCATAATATATGTCGGGAGAGATGACCCAATCGATTGAATATACACTTTAAATATAAGTTTAACTTTTGACTTTTGACCATTGCAAATTAAATATATTATTTAATTTGAATATTAGTAGGATAATTATTCTTTAAATATGTCAACTTAAAAAATGTATTTGTTACCTTTTTTAACTTTGAATATTAAAGATAATTATATACTTTTGTTTATTTCAAATTAAAATAATAATTATTTAAGTTTGAATGGTAAAAAGAGTTTTATCTTTTGAATATTTCAAATTAAAAGATATTGTTAATGTTTAATGTTGAATATTAAAAGATATTTGGTTGGATTAAATCTCTCTTGAAAATTCCCTATAAATAGTGAATAAACCTGTTAGGTTTTTCACATCTTAACAGATCTCACAACCCAGTTTTTGCAAAAACTTCTCTTATCTTGAAATTCTTTTCTCTTCCATAGTTTTCAGATGATAGTCGTAGGCAAGGATTATTCGTGATATGTGCAGATGTGTTACTGTATCATTAGTTATTGTATCTCGGGAGACAGAAGACCAACGAACTCGAGCACTAAAGGAGTGGTCGAAAATCTGTATTAGGGAAAATGTGTAACGACGGGTCTCAACTGATTCCGATTGCTAGATCAAAATAAAATGATAATTTTATTTTCATTCATTTTTATCTCATCTTCTAAGAAGTTTAACTTTTTTTGTTTATTTTCTCAGGATTGATTTTGTCTCAAATTATTATTTCCAATAACAATATCAAGACAAGAGTAAACTCGATCATTCTCTTTATCACTTTGTATTTTTGATATTTTATAATGATATTTATTCATTGTTATTTTTCTATATCATTCTCGGATTAATGCGTGCGATTATTTCTCTAACAATCTTAAGACATACTTGATTTTATTATTTTTCCGAGATGATATAGAATTCATGAGTTTAATCCTTATTGTGTATAAGGGAAGTGCAAAAAAATCAGCAAAACAAATATTGGGCGAAAATCAAGAGAAATTTACACCAAAGAAAAGTTTATTCAATTTTGAATTTATGAATTTTAATTTCTTTAAGGAATATTTTTGAATTTAATTTTAATGTGAGACATGAATCCATTAAATTTTGTGTAGGGATTCAAAGAATTGGATTCCAAAATCTTTGCAAGACCATAGTGGTTGCGTACTTTGTGGAGGCACACCTTGAATCTTGATGGTTTAGATTTTGATTAACAACGGTGAAGTTAATAATGACGATCAAGAATTCAAGTTTTGTCTAGCAACGATGAAGTCAATCCGATGGTAGAAATCTGAATATTTCCCTTTAATCCTAAACGATTCGAAACTCTTTCTTTTACATTTCTTTAATCTGAAACGGTTCAAATATCGTGGGAAAACGAGATAGCAAATAAATTTATTGTTTTGGATTTATCCTGCCGTTTTAACGGGCTTGTTAAAATCTCTAATTGGACAAATCTGTATAACAGAAATTTTCGTGAAAATAACTTTGGTTATTGATTTTTTTCTTCAGAATTTTGATTCTGTCCAATAAAAAATCGAAAAATAAACAAGAATCAATTTTCTCTTTATTTGAATCTTTGATTTCGTATTTGAAATCCATTGGGATTGTAATTCTGTCGTGTAACATAATTATTTAATATCTATAGAAATCGTTGGAAAGTAACAACGGTGTTACTGATTTGATTCAGAATTTTAGTTCATGACTAAATTACGTTGATAGAATAAATCAAAAATTAATTTTAGCTTATTGTTGAAATTGCTATTAATTCTAGTGTTAAACGAAATCGTGATTGCCAGTGGTCGTGAGCCACGATGAGAAACTTGTAAAATTTTATGAACTGAATTTCAAGATATGATAACATAAGATGTTATTTTATTTGGTCAGGTGAAGTTACCAAATGAGAGATGATCCTTCTATTATTAGAGAGGATGAGATATCTTGGAAGTATTATGACTTCCTATGTTGGTAATTCATCTTGAATATATTATCGATACACAATATAAGGTGTACAATTGAACCATAGATACAAAGCGGAAGATGTTGATATTAATGAATTATTAGTGACTAAGTTCTTAAACTTTGTAATATTTGCACAGAAGAGGGAGAATAAATCATCAATAATAGAGTTGCTTTTCGTCTTTACACCGATGAAAATATCAACATTGTTCACTGTTGTTGAATTCAATAAATAGATAAGCTAAATCAAAGAGCTTTTTAGGGCTTTTTCCAAAAGAGAAAATAACCTCAGTGACCAAAAATCCCAGATAATATACGATTTTGACCAACTTTTTTTGGATTTGCGAAAATGACCAACAAAATCGCAATGCGATCTCTAATTCGCATTGCGATTTCCACGATCGCAAATTCACGTTGCGATAGTTGAAAATCGCGTTGTGATTTTCCATTTCGCGTTGCGATAGTCTACAGTTGTCGTTGCGATTTTCCAAATCCATTTCGCGTTGCGATAGTTGAAAATCGCGTTGCGATTTTTCATTTCGCGTTGCGATAGTCTACAGTTATTGTTGTGATTTTCCAAATTCGTTGCGAAAATTCGTTGTGATAGTTAAAAAAAAAGATTTTGTTTCTTAAGAATTTTCTCTAAAAAGATAGTATCCGCACGGACGTGTCGAAGACACGTATTACCACGACCACGACCCGACCCGAGACGAGACGGCGGCGGCGGCGCGAGAGTCCCCCTTGTTCTCTATCACTCAACAAGAAAGTAAGAAAGCCAAGCCTTAAATACCATTCCCAATAGTGTTTCCAATACTATGTGGGATTTGAGCATTACCAACACTTGTTCCCAATACTATGTGAGATTGAGCCTTAAATAGTGATATTATTTTTGAATGTTTTGTTTAAAATTGTAATTATCGCGATTGATTGTAGATTGACTTTTAATTATGACATATTTAATTGTATAATACTAATGCAATTAGTTGCTGATTCAGTTGTTTTAAGGTGCATGATTGTTAATTATTTCCTGAATAATCACATTATATTGGAAACAAGTGTTGATAATGCTCAATCCCACATAGTATTGGAAACACTATTGGGAATGGTATTTAAGGCTTGGCTTTCCCACTTCCTTGTTGAGTGATAGAGAACAAGGGGGACTCTCGCGCGCCGCCGCCGCCGTCCCGTATCGTCTCTGGTCGTGGTCGTGGTAATACGTGTCTTCGACACGTCCACGCGGATACTATCTTTTTAGAGAAAATTATGAAGAAACAAAATCTTTTTTTAACTATAACGAATTTTCGCAACAAATTTAGAAAATCGCAACGACAACTGTAGACTATCGCAACGAATTTGGAAAATCGCAATCGCAACGCGAAATGAAAAATCGCAACGCGAAATGAAAAATCGCAACGCGATTTTCAACTACCACAACGCGAAATGGAAAAGCGCAACGCGATTTTCAACTATCGCAACGAGAAATGGAAAAGCGCAACGCGATTTTCAACTATCGCAACGCGATTTCCAACTATTGCAACACGAAATGAAAAATCACAACGCGATTTTCAACTATCGCAACGCGAAATGCAATGCGAATTTACGATAGTGGAGATCGCAATGCGAATTAGAGATCGTATTACGATTTTGTTGGTCATTTTCGTAAATCCAAAAAAAATTGATCAAAATCGTATATTATCTAGGATTTTTGGTCACTGAGATTATTTTCTCTTTCCAAAATCTGAATTTAAGTTCGCTTAGTTTGAGATTGAAGCCGGAAGAAACCCTAAAAAGTTAATCTTAACAGCTCAAAGACAGCCTTCAAATTTAGTACAATTGCAAACAAAAACGCAAGTTAGCGGAATACCCAAAAGCAGAAGGTAAAGGATTATCTCAAGAACAGTTCAAAATTCCACTACCCAGTTACTCCAAACAGGTAAATTTACCTTAAGAACAAAGACCCAAGCTCATTTTTGCTAAATAAAACAATCTTCAAGTGGAAAATTCATAAAGATGGCAGCAGATTAAGCCCTAAAAAATCAAGAAAACAAAATGAAAAATTAGTAGGAAAGAAGAGATGAAAAATACCTCTGACTGAAGAGAGAATGGTAACGATCGCTATGTAGTTTGGCGGCTGTTCCAATGCACCGATATAATCTAAGAAAACTACAAAAATAAATATATTGAAATTATGGGTAAAATACACGTTTAGTGTCTTAACCTTCACTTTTGTTTCGTTTTCATCACATAACTACTTTTTCAAAATCAAAATCACACTTAATATTTTGTTTTGATTTCATTTTGGTTACTCATAGTTAAAAAATGATGATTTTGATGTGTCACTATAAGTTAATTCCATATTATTATTGAAAAAAGTAAAAAAAAATCATCACAATAATTAAGTTATTTTTTAAACGTGAGTGACTAAAATAATTTAACGTTATGTATGATTTAAAAAAATATAATAATTGAATGATCAAAACAGAACAAATGTGATAGTTGGGATACTAAACTTATAGTATACCCCTATACTTATTATCAATCAGAATTATATCGACTTTTTTATTATAATTTATTTCATATATAGTAAATATTCTTTTTGATTAAATAGTAAAGATTTTAAATAAATTATAATTTACTTTTTGAACAAATTATTTTTTTTTCTAAATTCATTTTTGAGTAAAGCTTAAATATAAAACTATTTTCCAAATTTAACGAATACACGGATCAGTGAACACATTCGACTTTTATTTTTTATTTGTTATATAATAATTTTATTTATAACTATATATTTAGATAAACTATACGTTTAGTACCTAAATTATTAATTTTAATATGATTTAGCACCTAAATTTTCATATTTTTTAAAATCATATCTAATATTTAATTTTTATTTCATTTTAATACTTAGTTGTTAAAAACTTAACAGATGGGTTCGTTGGCCACCGCGTCTACCGTTGTTGGTCAACGCATCCGTTGGTTGATGAAACTCAAACTTTTCAGCTCGTATATTTTTGACCCCTGATTGTTATTCCAGCCTCTATTTCATCGAAAAAAGTCTCAATATCTTCAAATCGACGATATAATCTTTGATTTATTCATTCTTAAATCTCCATGTTCACTGTTCAATGGGTTAAAATCTAGACTATATTAGTTGACACATCATTTTCTCATTGTTCACCGTTCGGATTGATCGTCCGTATTTTGGAACTATATTACGTCAATTCATCCATTAAATTTTTAACTACGAATTTTTAAAATGAAATAAAAAATAAATATTAAGTACAATTTTTAAAAAATAAAAAATTAAATATAGATATTATTGACATAGTTTACCCTGTATTATATTTTAATAAAATGTTATAAATGTAAGAGAAAAAAACGATATAAATGAGTCATTGAAATGCGTTGAGCACTCCACGTGGCGCGAACCCATCACTTTCAAAGCTTAAACACTCCCACAAAAATGGCGCAAACTCGCTCATGAGTCACTCAAATTCTTAGAACAAAACTCCATTATTTCTCTCTACTTTGCACACACAAAGAACACAGCTCATTTCGAAGAAAACTAAAAAAGAATGGATTCCATTTCTCTACGCTCGTTCTATTCCCAGTTTTCAGTTCGTAAGCAACTCGGATTCCTCCCAAACACCGCTATTTTCCGTTCAAGGATTCGTTTTCCTTTTCGTTTCCCACCGAGAAGCTACTGCCGCCATTATCATTATAAACCTCTCGTTTCTGCCGTCTCCGCCACTTCCACTAGGTACCCTTTTCAACGCTTTCATTATTATGGCTTCTTATTGTTGTTATTTTATCTGGGAATGGAATGTGTTGTTATGATCTAAAAGGAAATCCCATTTCATTTTTCTTGATTGTTTTGATGAAATTCTATATAACGTTGTTAAGATTGTAGACGACTAAAGTGGGTGTTGTGGTTTTGGGAGCAGAGAAGCGGAAAAGAAGAAGGCGAAATCGGCTGCTCCCGGAAAAGCACTTGTCAATATTTGTTTAGATCATCAAGTTCAATTCGGCGAGCATGTAATGGTTGCCGGGTCGGCGAAAGAATTGGGGTCCTGGAAGAAACAGGTGCCTATGAGCTGGTCCGCGATCGGATGGGCAAGCGACTTCGAGCTCGATGCCGGTCAGTCGGCCGAGTTCAAATTTGTGATTGTTGGGAAGGATAAGACTGTAGTATGGGAAACTGGGGATAACCGTGTTCTCAAAGTGCCTGAAGGAGGGAGTTTCGGGATAATTTGTCACTGGAACTCAACAAAGGAACCAATGAAACTATTGCCTTTAGATTTGGAAAAATATCGAGACAGAGCGGAGGTTGTTGGCCGTACTACTGCTGCCGATGTCGAAACGAGTCCTTTTGTTGGACAATGGCAGGGGAGGGAGCATCACCATAGAGAAGTTGAGAGGAAATGGAATACAACCGGTCTTAAAGGGTTGCCTCTTAAACTAGTTGAAGGAGATAAAAATGCAAGGAACTGGTGGAGAAAGGTACATATAGATATAGTTATTTTATGTCGATTGCGATATTCATATATGGAAATCGTTGTAGAGATGTCGTAATCGATATATTTCCCGTTCCTCCCTTGATGCCAGCAATTGAATTGCAGTTTACTTATGTAATTTTATGAGTTTTTAGCATTATGGATATGTGTGTAGCCTTAATGCATTCAATCGATCACCTATGCTTGCACTAACGGTAAATGCCTATTTATAAATGGTTGTCCTTAGTTATTTTAGATCATGGATTAGCTTGTAAACATCTATCATCGTGGATAATGCTCATGATTTGGTATATATTTCTTCTACCATTCTCCATTTACGTTTCTTGGTCTGCATTTTCCTATTGCTAATGAAAGCTCGAAGTGGTTCGTGGGCTATTACTTGAAAGTTTGGAAATAGGGGAACTGTTGGAGGCTCTAATATGCTCTGCTGTCTATCTTAAGGTATTATAGTATAGCTTTTTCTACACGTTTGTTTTGGTGCTTTATCTTCCATGTGCTGCTCTTGAACCTTTGTCGTATGCAGTGGATAAATACTGGCCAAATTCCTTGTTTCGAAGATGGGGGTCATCACCGGCCGAACAGACATGCCGAGATTTCCAGGGATATATTTCGCGAATTAGAGCAAATCTCTTGTTGGAAAGACACTTCACCTCAGGTGCTCCATTGCTGCAATTTTTTTTATTGATAGTGTTCATGGTTGTTAAAACTTGGTGTTTTGTAGTCAATAGCTTACATATTCTATTTCACAGTCATGATGTTTATAATTTTCTCAGTTTCCTTTTTCTTCCTTGTTTCTAGGAAGTGCTTGTTATTCGCAAGATCCATCCTTGTTTGCCGTCTTTTAAAGCAGAATTTACAGCAGCTGTCCCCCTGACTCGGATTAGAGACATTGCTCATCGGGGTGATATTCCTCAAGATCTCAAGGTCAATTTTGCAAATACATGGCCAGTTATTGTTATTATTATTTTTTAAAATTTTAAATTACTAATTTATTTTCTATTGACAAATTCCAGCAAGAAATTAAGCATTCAATACAGAACAAGCTTCATCGAAATGCTGGCCCTGAAGATTTAGTTGCGACAGAAGCAATGCTTGCAAGAATCACCAAGAATCCTGGAGAATACAGTGAAGGGTTTGTGGAGCAATTCAAGATATTCCATCGGGAACTCAAAGATTTTTTCAATGCAGGAAGGTTCGATTCGAAAAATTTGAATTTATACATATGAACATGCAATTGTGAGGCATCAATGTCTCGACTTTCTAAACTTTTTCTGTGTATGTGTATGATTAGTTTTAGTTTGCCTCTTCGTGTGATGATCCAGTTCTTTATTTATTGCTATGTCTCGCTTCTCAACACTCGTCGTAAATTTATGCATCTATATAAGATTTATATTATTGCAGCCTCACTGAACAACTTGAGTCGCTTAGAGAATCACTGGATGAGCGAGGCATATCAGCTTTTGACGCGTTCCTAGTATGCAAAAAGGTATATTGTTATTTTTCTGCTTGTAGTTATTGCAAATTTATTTCTAAGTGATTAGTTTTTGTCGCATTCGCTTGATTTCTCAATTTCATATTTATATTTCCAGATTACGGATGCTGCGAAAGAGGCAAGTAGTGAACTGGATTTAATCAAGGCAATGCTTTCGCTGAATGCTTTGAGACAAGTGATCATAAAGGGTCTCGAAAGTTGTCTTAAAAACAATGCTCCCGAAGCAGCCATAGCAATGCGTCAAAAGGTATGTCCAATTTTTACAATGTTTAACCACAAGCTTCAAATATCCTTTTGCTCTCATGTCTTATTTTCCGGTCACTGTTGTTTGCAATTTTTAGTGGCGGCTTTGTGAGATCGGCCTCGAGGACTATTCCTTTTTGCTCTTAAGCAGGTATATATCTAATTTTTTTCCAGTTGCTTTTGATAGTTGTGCCTGAACTTAAAATTGGGAAGATTAATAGAATATAATCTTTACGATATCACGAGCTGGTGTTAATGGGATGGAATGGTGTCATACTTTTAAATTATCTTAAAGGAAAACAAACTGAGCTAGAAGAAAGAAGTTATATTCATGTTTTCTAGGGCTGCTTGATCATGTTAAAGTGGGCTTCTAATATTAGAAATGAAAGTCATTTATGTTGCTGATTTGTTGAGTTGCATGGCATTCATACAATACAATCTGCAATATCATCCATGCAAAGATATGCTCGACTGTGCCAACAGGTGCTTTACAAAGGTGTTTGTGAATTATGATCATCCATATCATACCTATTCAGAACAGAAAGCCTTTATTGCATTTGTAATGACTTTTTCTACGAATACGAAATAATTGTACTTTCTGGTTTCTCCTCTTTCTGTTTACATATGTTTTAGTATATGGTCCTTTTCTCTCCATTTCTCTTATTCATGCAGTACTGACTTGCATTGACTTAGGCTACACACTACACATGAAGCTATGGGAGGAGCCAATTGGCTTGCAGATAATATGGGTACAAAGAGAATAGGCTCTTGGAATAACCCGCTTACATCCCTAATTCTCAGTGTTCATCAGCTTGGTTTATCTGGTTGGAAACCCGAAGAATGTGCTGCTATTGGAAGTGAGCTCACTGCATGGCAAGAGAGAGGGCTCCTTGAGAAAGAAGGTACATTTTTCCTATGTTACTCTGACCTTTTATTTTGGTTCAAGTACCCATGTTTGATATGCATTCCTAGCACTGATCTACATTTCGATATGGGGGCATCACCTTCCAAAGACCCTCCAAATACATTGAGAAACTTGGGGAAAAAATACACACACCCTTTTCGGATATATGCCAATATCTGAAATTTACACCTGGATTCAACTAACATAGCCCTTCTCATCTTTTAATCTCTTAGCTGTGGAAATGTTTTGCATGGTTACTTGATTGACTTACGTTATTTTCCTGTCCCTGTGTGTTTTTTATGAAGGAAGCGAAGATGGAAAAAGAATCTGGGCATTAAGACTCAAAGCTACACTCGACAGGACAAGGAGGTTAACCGAGGAATATTCGGAAGCACTTCTTCAAATATTCCCTCAAAAAGTTCAGGTAAAGAATTCGATCTTCTTGTGAGAAAGAAAAGCTTCATTCTGCAGGATGAAAATATTTTTTCAATGATAAACGCCTGACATTATGTAAGCTTAAGTATAATAACATGCTTCCTATGGAATGGAATCGTTAAATCTTTTTAATGTTAAAGTTAACAAACTGTTTAGATGGTAACCTTTGGAGATAATGTCAGATGAACTCCAGAATGATAATGTGATATATTCTATTTATAGATTGGTTCATCATCGATATTTCAACGTCCAACTCATGCAGCTTCATATTACAAGTAATTTAATACAAAATGGAGTAACTGGTACCCCAAATTAAAATTATTTTTTAACACTTGAAGATGCTTGGTAAAGCTCTTGGAATTCCGGAGAACAGCATAAGGACATATACTGAAGCTGAGATTCGAGCTGGGTATGGTGACATTTACCTTTCTAATGAATCCATAAATATTCATGACTATTAACCTTTTTTATTTTTCTATGTTTCTAACTGGAAATTTTCATTTGTAGGGTAATTTTTCAGGTTTCAAAACTATGTACTCTTCTTCTAAAAGCAGTGAGAATAGGATTGGGTTCTCAAGGTTGGGATGTACTTGTTCCAGGATCCGTTTCTGGAACATTGGTTCAGGTATGTCAATCACAAGTGACTGCATATAATTACGAGTATAACAGTGTTTAGTTTCTATCATCCTATTCCTTTGTTAGGAATCCATAAATATGCCCGACTATCAATGAACCTATAGATCAGAAAATAGCATAATCCGGGAGTTAGATAAGAAGAATAACATAGCATAATCCGGGATCTGATACCATATTGATACTGTTTCGAGCTATAATATATAACCTCATCTTAAAAATGCCAACTTTCACATTTCATTTCTTTGTTTCAATTTGTTATTTTACTGGTTCGGGTAAATACATGTGAAACTTGGTTCCTATATTTTATATCTGATGCCGTATTAATTTTGCTTCAGGTTGAGTCCATTGTCCCTGGATCACTGCCATCATCTTTGGAAGGACCTGTTATTCTCGTGGTCAATAGAGCCGATGGAGATGAGGAGGTTCATATAGTTCTAAATAAATTATTTGTTCTCATCCTTGTATATCACTTGTCATTTTCTTATGTTCGTGCAAAGTCGTCATGTAGTCTCGTTTGATACTTTTGGCAGGTATCAACTGCTGGACTCAACATTACCGGAGTTGTACTTCTTCAGGAATTGCCTCACTTGTCTCATCTTGGTGTTAGGGCCCGACAAGCAAGTTCTTTCTCTCTTATGATATCAAAATTTTCTTATATACTTGTGATAGAAATTATGTTGCTTTGCCTCTTCTTCCCCCCCCCCCCCTGAAGTGCTCGTTTGGCACATACTCGTATCAAACACTCGTAACTTAGTTCAAGTACTGTGGGATAGAAAATATTGATAAAGTACCTGATATAGACTAAAGAAGGACATGCTTTTATGCAGGAAAAGGTTGTCTTTGTTACATGTGAAGATGACGAAAAAGTTTCTGATATACAAAAGCATGCAGGAAAATACATGAGGTTATTTCTGAACTACTGCACAGACTATAATCAACTTTTTATCTCATCAATCAGCTTTGAAAGTTAATTCCTTATACGATCGATTCCAGGACTTTAATGTTTGTTTTTTTTGGTTCTTGTTTTTTGTAAAAATCTGAAGCCTTGAAGCATCATCTAGCGGCGTGAACCTAACTCCATCTTCAAACGATCGTGATGCTGTTTCTGTTAAAAAGAATCTTTCAATGAATGCTTCATTTGCTGCCAAGGTGGTGGCTGTTAAAGCCCCGGCCTTTAATAAGGCATGGTTTCTTCTCCACCGTTCTAAATTGCAATTAACCAGCAATCTCTCGGTTCTTTTAACTTATAATGGCTTTTCTTTTTCATACAGGATTGTGCTTCCTTGGGAGTTATACCACTTGCCAAAGCAGATGAACTAACTTCGGGAGCAAAGGCAGCTGCCTGTGGCCGTTTAGCTTCCTTGGCAACAGAGTTCAATAAGGGTAACATTTTTGTTCTCGGCAGTGCCGCCTCACCGTCTCCCCATCTACTCCCAATCCCTTATATACTCGAACGAAATATACTTATTCTTCGTTTTCCTTTAAGTATCTATGTTTTGACATGCATTTCTGATATATACTCGAACGATCCTCCAAGGACGGAACATACCTATATTGGATGGATATCCACATCGGGCACTCACCCTCAAGCTCGAGTATCATAGTAATGAAGTATTATACAAAGTATTTTATATGTTTAAGAGTTTCCATTGTAATTGTTTTACAATTTCATTTCGTATTTGTTGTTTTAAACCCGATTAATCTTCATTCTTATAAATTGTACATCCATATAGTCATTTTGCTCTGTTTTAATCATTTTTGTTTTTGGCCTTTTTATTTATTTATGGCAGTCCACAGTGATAACAGTGTGCCGGCCTCATTCCTTGTTCCTGCCGGAGTAGTTATACCATTTGGTTCGATGGACTTGGCTTTAGAGAAAAACAGATTGATGAAAAAATTCAAGTCTCTTCTAGGACAGATAGAAACAGAAGGAGTCGAGAACGATGCACTCGACAAAGTATGCCAACAACTTCAGCAACTGGTCTCTTCACTTGAGCTTTCTGATGACATAATTGATAGCATCAGGAGCATGTTTCCTGATGATGAACGCTTAATTGTTCGTTCAAGTGCAAATGTTGAGGATTTGGAAGGGATGTCAGCTGCTGGACTGTACGAATCAATCCCGAATGTCAGTCCATCAAATCCAACAATATTTTCCAATGCTGTTAGTCGAGTATGGGCCTCACTCTATACTCGAAGAGCAGTACTAAGCCGCCGAGCTTTTGGTATATCGCAGAAAGATGCTACAATGGCAATACTGGTCCAAGAAATGCTTTCACCGGATCTTTCATTCGTTCTCCACACACTCAGCCCAGCTGATCATGACCAAAATTATGTAGCAGCTGAGATTGCGCCGGGCTTTGGTGAAACCCTTGTTTCGGGAACTCGCGGGACACCCTGGCGTGTATCATTAGGGAAGTTTGACGGGACTGTCCGGACACTAGCATTTGCAAATTTCAGTGAGGAGATTGAGATATCCAGTACAGACCCTGCTGATGGGGAAGTTCTCCATTTGCCAGTAGACTACAGCAAAAAACCGTTTACAGTTGATCCGAAATACCGTCAGCAGCTTAGTCAGCGTCTCGGTGCCATCGGTTATTTCCTGGAGCAGAAGTTTGTCTGCCCCCAAGACGTCGAAGGATGCGTTCTCGGTGAAGATATTTACGTGGTTCAGGCACGCCCTCAACCCCTGTAATGGCTTCTAGCTTATCATGCATCCAATAAGATTGCCATCAACATCGAAAATAAGCATTTCCGTTCCTTGGCAATGCATGGATTATCTTCATATCCAAGCGTACGAAGCTCTACGTACCAAGTATGTACAGTTTTTAGCTACCTATGTTCGTATATTGGTATCAAAAATAAACTTAAAATGAAAAAAAATAAAGAAATCAAAGCCTAAATAGTAAAAAGTCAAATTCATTTTTTTTGGTTTTTCGAGTTGATAAATCCAAATTCAATTCGAACTCAAAAACCAAAATTTAAATTTAAATTAACTTGAATAATTCAGAATAATATTTTTTTGAATCTAATTAAATTTTACTCACCCGGTTGACCACTTGTTCAATTCAGGTTCATAATTATTAATCTAAGAGATAAACTCACATTTAGCCCCGGAATTTGATATATTTTCAATTTAATCTCAGAACATTTTCGGGTCCACAATTAGATCCTGAACTTTGCAGGAACAACACTAATGGCACCTATGGTAAAGTTGCATATAAATCTCGCCTTATACGTACAAAAGAAACTGAAACCAAATCCAGAAAGTCATGTATAATCCAACAATGCAAACTTCACTTGCAAACTAATCTCTTACCACCTTCATTCACTAGCCTGGCTGCTGTTACCAGCCAATGTCCCGGAGCATAATGCGGACCACGGACGACTTCCGATACATCTACATATTTTAGCAATTTTTTTGGCACGAATTGGTGCCGGAGGACCATCGGGAAACACACCCGAATTGTGGTTGGAGCCGGTTTCTGTTGTCCAGTGACCGACCGTTGAGTGAACGTGAAAGTTGTGCTAAGATTAGCGAGGAAACCGGCCTTACGAGAAGTTTCTGGTGCAGCAACCCACTCGGTCTTTTGGATTGTGCAGTTTGGTATACGATTGTAAAGCAGACGAAGATGCAAAACTGTCTTTGGCCACTTCCCTTTGCTAAGGAGCTGTGCACCAGTTACGATTAAAACACCATTGGGAACGTCTTGAAACCAGTTAGGGTCATGTTTAACAACAGATGCAACCTTACACATTTAATAGTTCTTCTAATCTATATATACATGTCTATGCATACATATATACGCGGACTATAAAGGTAAAACTGTAGACAAATATATTAACCAACTCTTACAAACTTCATCAGAAGTTCATATTCTGCCATCGAGTATGGTAAAATGTGTTTGTTGTTGGTTGTTACGTATGTTACTTGGATTCAGACGTTGGTCCAACATGGATGTGTTCAATTTTTCTAGTTTTTTATTATATTTGGACATACATTGAAGGTCATATCCCCATACTCATATCCAAATGTGTGTCAGATCGTGATTTACTTCGAAAGGATTTTCAATGTAAAATTCTGACGTTCGTTATTTTGTGATCGTTTTACATATGTTATTACCGTCCTTTCGTTATAACAACAATAATGTTGTGGTGGACTCGGAACAGGTGAAACATAATATGCTGAATATTGTACCAGTTACATAAATTGTTATATTGTATTGTTTCGAATGGTGATACTGAGAATGAACCGGAAGGGTTTGCTTTTTTCTGATTAGTCGAAGGATGATGATGTTACATCAGTGGACGTTTGTTTCTACCTCGATGAATATATCCGGTTCATTTTGTTATGTTTGGCTTGAAAGTTGGCAAAGTTGACATCTTTGGTTGGTGGCCAACTTATTGAAAAATTCATCTTTGGTAGGTGGCCAACTTTGCACATGGGAATTTCATCTTTGGTCCCTAAAATATTAGATTATTTATAAGTTTAGTCCTTAAAACTCAACTATAAATTAGCCTAAGTATTTCATTAGAAATCATCCCAAAACAAGTTCTCTCTTGCTCTTGTTTTCTTCATTCTCTCACTTTGGGAATTCTAAAGAATTCCATTTGTTGTAATATTTGTTGATAGTGAAGTTATCATCCGGTGTGGTGCCCGAGGAGTAGACGATATTATCGTCGAACCTCGTAATTTGGGGTGTTCTCTCATTTATTGTTCTTTATTCAGTTTTTCCATTGTGTTTCAATATTAATAGTTTGACGGGTTTATCCGCTGTGCAACCTTTGGTGGTTTTAATCTTGACATTTTAGGTCAATTTTGAAACTATGTTCATGTAGGAAATAATCCGGGTTCCCCAACAATTGGCATCAGAGCTTCGGTTGAGGTTATCCTGGTGGTCATGTTATTGAAAAGATACAGTTCGTGCTATTGAATATTGTTCATTAGAATTAAAATGTCAAAATACGGATCAGTTGAGACATCAAGCTCTTCATCTGGACCGGTGAGGAGGTGGGTGTCAAATGCAAATTTCTCGGTGGAGTTGTTCGATGGATCCGGTCATTTTGGCATGTGGCAAGGCGAGGTGTTAGACGCTTTATTCCAACAAGGTTTAGACATCGCCATTGAGGAAGAAAAGCTCAAATATATGGAGGAGAAATAATGGGGAATAATCAATCGTTTGGCGTGTAGCACGATTCGATCTTGTCTTTCCAGGGATCAGAAGTATGGCTACAAGAATGAGACTTCTGCAAGTAAAATGTGGAAAGCATTGGAGGAAAATTCCTAAAGAAAATCTTTCAGAATCGTCTCCACATGAAAAATAGATTGTTCAGATTTGATTATCAACCAGACACCAGTATGAATGAACACATCATTGTGTTCAATGAGCTAGTGGCAGACTTATTGGGCATGGATGAAACCTTCAAAGATGAAGATTTGGCTTTGATGTTGTTGTCATCTCTTCCAGATGAATTTGAGCACCTTGAGACAACATTACTTCATGGTAAGGATAATGTTACCCTTAAAGATGTAACTGCTGCTTTGTATAGTTATGAGCTCAGAAAGAAAACCAAGAAGGAGGGAAAGTACGAAGCAGTGGAGGTCATGGTGGCAAGAGGTCGCTCGTAAAGTCAAAAGACAAAGTGGAGAGAGAGATCAAAGTCAAAGTCTAGACTAAGAAAAGATGAATGTGTCTTTTGTCATGAGAAAGGCCATTGGAAGAAAGATTGTTTGAAGCTGAAGAAGAAAGGAAAAGCTGCTCCAGATGCATGTGTTGCAGAGCATGATGCAAATGACTCTGACATATTATTGGTTGCTTCATCAACAACATTCCAATTAGATGAGAGGATATTAAATTCGGGTTGTACCTATCATATGTCCCCTAATCGGGAGTGGTTCTCCGATTTAGTAGAACTAAATGCAGGAGTTGTTTATATGGGCAATGAAAATGCCTGTAAAACTATTGGGATATGTTCAATTCGATTGAAAAATCAAGATGGATCAACCAGAGTTCTGACTAATGTCCAATATGTGCCCAGTTTGAAGAAAAATCTCATCTCGTTGGGAGCTTTAGAATCTAAAGGCTCAGTAGTCACTATGAAAGATGGAGTTTTAAAAGTCACATCTGGTGCACTTGTGATGATGAAGGGCATCAGGAAAAATAATTTGTATTACTACCAAGGTAGTATAATTATTAGAGCAGTTGCAGCAACTTCTGGAGGCGATGATTTGGACATAACCCAGTTGTGGCATATGCGGTTGGGACATGCTGGAGATAAATCCTTGCAAATTCTGGCAAAGAAATGATTGTTGAAAGGTGCAAAGGCTTACAAATTGAACTTTTGCGAGCATTGTGTTCTGGGAAAGCAGAAGAGAGTGAAGTTTGGCACCACTATACATAATACAAAAGGTATTGTGGATTATATTCACTCAGATGCGTGGGATCCTTCAAAGACACCGTCTTTGGGAGAAAACCATTATTTTGTAACTTTTGTAGATGACTTTTTTAGAAGAGTTTGGGTGTATCTGATGAAGTCTAAAGATGAAGTGCTTCGAATTTTCCTTAAATGGAAAAATATGATCGAGAACCAGACTGGTAGAAAGATCAAACGGCTTAGGACATACAATGGAGGGGAATATAAAAGTGACCAATTCTTTGACGTTTTCCATGAGTATGGTATTGTTCGACACTTCACTGTTAGAAATACACCACAACAGAATGTGGTGGCAGAGCGTATGAATCGAACACTATTGGAGAAAGTTCGATGTATGTTGTCTAATGCTAGGTTAAGTAAGGCATTTTGGGCTGCGGCTGTGACATATGCTGGCCATCTCATCAATCGTCTGCCATTATCAACGATAAGAGGAAAAACACCATTGGAGGTATGGTCTGGAAAACCTGTTACTAATTATGATTCCTTACATGTATTTGGATCCACTGCTTCTTATCATGTGAATGAATCCAAGCTTGATCCGAGAGCAAATAAGGCTCTCTTTATGGGAATCGCCCATGGAGTGAAGGGATTTCGCCTTTGGTGTTTAGACACCAAGAACTTTGTAGCAGAGATGTTACCTTTGATGAATCTGTCCTAGTAAAGAAGGTAACAAATGAAGCTGTCCAGACAAGTAGTACTCTGCAGCAGGTGGAGCATACTCCAAAACAGGTGGAGTTTCAGCAGACGATGATCCTAGAAGATGATGGAGTTGATTCTTTAACTCCAATAGAAGAATCAGAAGATGAAGAGGTTCAAACCCAAGAACCATTGGAGACACCATAACCACTTACACTTACAAGGCCAAGGAGAGAAATTCGTAGACCTGCTCGATTTGTTGATATGGTGGCCTATGCTCTTCCAGTTGTTGATGATGATATCCCTATCACTTACCAAGAAGCAATACAAAGCTTGGAAAGTGATAAGTGGAAAAGTGCCATGGATGAAGAAATGCGATCTCTCCAAAAGAACAACACTTGGAAACTGGCACAATTACTGAAAGGTAAAAGAGCAATTGGATGCAAGTGAGTATTTACAAAGAAAGATAGATCTCATAGGAAGAAAGATGTTCGCTATAAGGCAAGGTTGGTAGCTAAAGGCTACGCTCAAAAGGAGGGAACCGACTACAATGAAGTATTTTCCCCTGTTGTGAAGCATTCCTCCATTAGAATATTGTTGGCCTTGGTAGCACAGTTGAATTTGGAGCTAGCTCAACTTGATGTAAAGACGACTTTCTTGCATGGTGATTTAGAAGAGGAGATCTATACGACTCAGCCAGAAGGATACAAAGATGGTGGTTATGAGAAATGGGTTTGTAAGCTGAACAAATCTCTATATGGATTGAAGCAACCTCCGAGGCAGTGGTACAAGTGATTTGATAGCTTTATGAGGAGGCAAAAGTACACTAGAAGCAGATACAATCATTGTGTGTATTTGCAAAAGCTCAAAGATGGGTATTTCATTTATATTCTCTTGTATGTTGACGATATGTTGATCGCTTCGAATAGTCAAAAGAAGATAGACAAATTAAAGGCTCAGTTGAATCAAGAGTTTGAGATGAAAGATCTAGGTGAGGCCAAGAAGATTCTTGGTATGTAGATAAGCAGAGATAGACAGAGAGGGAAACTTTGTTTAACTCAGAAGCAGTATCTGAGAAAGGTATTACAATGTTTTGGCATGAATGAAAATACCAAATATGTAAGTATCCCACTAGCTTCTCATTTGAAACTTAGTTCTCAGTTATCTCCTAAAACTAACGAAGAACGAGAGTATATGGAAAAAGTTCCATATGCTAATGCAGTTGGGAGCTTGATGTATGCAATGGTGTGTACGTGTCCTGACATTTCACAAACAGTTGGAGTTGTGAGCAGGAACATGCATGATCCAGGAAAAGGACATTGGCAAGCTGTGAAATGGATTCTATGGTATCTCCAACAAACCATGGATGTTGGTTTAGTTTTTGAACAAGATGAAGCACTTGGCCAGTGTGTGGTTGGATATGTTGATTCCGACTATGCTGGTAATTTGGATAAGCGTCGATCAACTACTGGGTATTTGTTTACTCTTGCTAAAACCCCAGTAAGTTTGAAGTCTACTTTGCAATCTACGGTGGCTTTGTCTACTACAAAGGCAGAATATGGCAGTTTCAGAAGTTGTGAAGGAAGCAATTTGGCTTAACGGGTTGATGGAAGACTTGAGAGTTGTTCAAAGTCACATTAGTCTCTATTATGACAGTCATAGTGCTATTCACTTAGCAAAAAATCAAGTCTACCATTCAAGGACTAAGCATATCGACGTGAGGTATCACTTTGTGCGAGAGATCTTTAAAGAAGGAAAGATTCTACTTCAGAAAATTGCAACAGTAGAAAATTCTGCAGATATGATGACCAAGGTGGTAACAGTAATCAAGTTCAATCATTGTTTGAACTTGATTAACATCCTGAAAGTATGAACACCTTCGGGTGTGTGGCGCTTGTGAGCGCAATTAGAGGCACTACATTAAAATAACTTCATTAAATTTGAGGAGATGAAAAAGTTGAGTAGGCTTGATAATTTCAAGCCAAGGTGGAGATTTGTTATGTTTGGGTTGAAAGTTGGCAAAGTTGACATCTTTGGTTGGTGGTCAACTTATTGGAAAATTCATCTTGGTTGGTGGTCAACTTATTGGAAAATTCATCTTTGGTAGGTGGCCAACTTTGCACATGGGAATTTCATCTTTGGTCCCTAAAATATTAGGTTATTTATAAGTTTAGTCATTAAAACTCAACTATAAATAGACCTAAGTATTTCATTAGAAATCATCCCAAAACAAGTTCTCTCTTCCTCTTGTTTTCTTTATTCTCTCACTTTGAGAATTTTAAAGAATTCCATTTGTTGTAATATTTGTTGATATTGAAGTTATCATCTGGTGTGGTGCCCGAGGAGTAGACGATATTCTCGTCAAACCTCGTAAATTTAATGTGTTCTCTCCTTTATTGTTCTTTATTCGGTTTTTCCATTGTGTTTCAATATTCAATAGTTTGATAGGTTTATCCGCTGTGCAATATTTGGTGGTTTTGATTTTGACATTTTAGGTCAATTTTAAAACTACGTTCATGTAAAAAATAACCCGGTTTCCCAACACATTTCTCATCACATAATAGATACAACTACACGTATTACATAAACCATCTTATGTTATCACTCGAAACCATCCTATCAAAATTTCAAAAAAAATAACGATCGAGAGTACGACCATATTATATCTCTTAAACCGCTAACCACTCGTTGTGCTTCCTCTGCTGATCAATATGTCTTTATTCGTCTTTCAACATTATACGAATTGTCTAAGTCAACAGTTGATCCTAGAATAGACCGTGAAATCAAACTAGAGACATAATTGTTATATTGTATTGTTTCGAATTGTATGAGAGTGTATTTAAGGCTTCCCCACTATGTTGCAATTTTCAACTACTCGTCAACTTGAAGCATTTATTGTATGAGCCTGACAAATTTGTGTTTTTGCTAACAAAATATGGTTATAGAAGGGCTCTCCTCATGCCATTGGAAGCATATAATAAAGCCAAGCATTGCAAAACTTTCACTACTTTTTTGTTTCTAAAATGAGGGTGTGGGTTGTACTGTTGGTTGCAGCATGGGCTTATTGGGTATCCATGGTCGAACCACAGTGTTGCATGGCTGCAACACAAAATGAAGAACACAAGCTCAAGATTTCCACCGTGAGATTCAACTTTTATGGAGATAACAGGAATACTTATCTGATGTTCATGAATGATCTGTACAATGCATTGACGGATGGTGCGGATAAAAGCGGCGAGATACCGATATTGTCTCCCCAATCTGCACAACCTGATGATCCCCAACAATATGTACTTGTGGAATTCTCAAATGGTACTCCTGATCTTCCTATCACACTAGCTTTGAACGCAAGTAACGCGCATATCTTGGGTTATCGACTGGGTGCCGAAAGCCGATCCTATTTCTTTAGTGATGTCCCCTCCGGTGTGCGTAATACCGTGTTCCCATACACAGATACTGTGTCTCTTCCGTTTACATGAACGTACGAGGCACTCGAACGTGCTGCGGGAGTAAATAGAAGTGAAATCCATCTGGGAATTGGAAAACTAGACCAATATACTGATTCCATGAGGTATATGAACCCTTCTACTTCTAGTGACGTTGACGTTATTGCTAAATGCCTTATCGGTTGCCTCCAGATGGTTTCCGAAGCTGTGCGATTGAGATACGCCCAGCAACGAATCGTTGCAGTTGCACCCTCGTCAAGATGGAATAGCTTACCCAAAGTTTTATCCAGATGATTTAATGGTGGAGTATGAAAATAAATGGGAGGAAATCTCCAGAGCCATTCAATCTGCAGCAGACGGAATCTTCGGAACAGCCGTTCGTTTAGAATATGGTGGTCAAAATTTGGTTTTAAGAACCGTGAGAGAAGCTCTTTTCACCGTCGCATTGATGCCGGCAATATTCGGGAACTCAATGCCAAGGCCAAGGGCTCATTTGCAGCAGCTTTTGCGCATGCCGACGACGACAATATCCACTGGCCTAGAAGACAACAGCGGTAATAACGGCACTTGTGAAAGAGTGTTGGCCCCAACCTCGCATATTATCGGACAAGATGGTCTCTGTATTGATGTATTCAACTATAACAACACCAATGGGAACAAGATAATCATGAGGAAATGTGTACGTGGTCAAAGTAACCAGTTATTGACATTGAGATCAGACGATAACACGAATGGGAACAAGATAATCATGAGGAAATGTGTACGTGGTCAAAGTAACCAGTTATTGACATTGAGATCAGACGATAACACGATCCATCCGGTGGAAAATGCTTAACACAACCGACTGACTCCGGCGTTAAGGCGACAATCCATGATTGTGACACGGCTGTTCCCGGCACCACCAAATGGGAAATCAGCAGCGATGGAACCATAAGAAATCTTATATCCGGGATGGTCTTGACAGCTCGTAGATCCCGGACTTATAATACCACAGGCTTCATGAATCTACTAGTGCACAACAATACTTATGGTTCTTCTGACCAAACTTTCCATGCCACCAACAACACCAAGCCATTGCTCACCACCATCTACGGCTACAAGGGGCTGTGCCTGGTAGCAACTGGTTCTTGGATAGAGTTGGATAATTGTGTGAGCCACGATATTGAATTGCAGTGGATTATATATGCAGATTCGACTATCAGGCCTCGAACGAATCAAAATGGTGTATCTGATATGAGGATAAAATGTCGCTCGCCATAGCCTATAAATATTAAAGATCAAATATGTAATTATATCAAGTTTTTTTAATTTACTCATCAATTATTCTGTTGAAAGTTAACCGCAAGTGGTTTGATTGAAGTATTTAAATAGTTTGGTGGTTTGATTGATAAAATCAAAATATTAGTGGTCAAACTGAAAGGATTCAATAGTTGTATGGTTATTTGTGTAGTTTATCCAAATAACTAATTAGAATCCCAAATTACCCAAACAGAAAAGTGCAAAAATACCCTAAAATTGTCTTAAAATTCCAACTCCAAATAAAACCCATCACTCTCGTCGCAGTTGCTGCCGTTCCTCAGCTGTATATCGTCATTCCTTCGTTTTTGCCACGGCGCCGCCGACGCCGCCGGTCTCTAGAATCTGCACAGAAAAACATATAACGAAGGCGAAAGATACGGTATTTTCTTCCTCTTTTTAAAACTGCTCCGAAAACCCAAGCTTTGCTCTCATTCACCTAGGTATGTATAAATTCTAACTCTTTTTTTTATCCATTTTATTTATCTCTTATTTGAGTATAGTTTCGTTTAGCTGATCATAAGCTGTATCTCAATGGTGAAAGTAAATTATTTAGCTTTTTATTGTTTGAATGTTTAATTAATATTTGAATGTTAGTATCTGATGTTTGAATTGTAGTTTTTTTCTTTCTAAAATGGCTTATGATAATTTGTTAACTATAAATTTAGTAAAGAAATATGTAATAATACAATAGGTCAATTTATCAGGTAGTGATTTAGGGTCTTTCATCCTGCACCTTATTGGCAAAACCCTGTTAACCAGAACCCAAGACATACTTCAGTTAGTTCATGCAATTAGTCTTAAGAGATTGCATCCTGCATATTTGGTGTTTGAATCCCTGGAAATAAATACTAGTCCTTGATTAGGTGTCGATTTTTCAGCTGATTCGAAGATGCCACGAAAACCTTCCGGACATCGGTTGTTACCAGTTCGGCCTTTGACTTTCTCACCGTTTGCTCGTTCTGTTGCTCGAGTTGCCACTGCTTACATGGTTAAACATCACGTGCGTGATGCCATGCAGCATTCTGCAGGTTTTTTAGCTGGATTTTTTTATTCTGTTGTGTTTAAAGTGATTAACTGTTGCTTTTGTGTTGCTGTTATCTGCTTGACTTCTATTAGTATTTTGGAGTTCACATTCTTATTGTTTTCTGGCCTGAACTTTAGGTGATGAATTTAAGAAGTTGAAAAAGGTAGACAGACAATCCGAGTCATCTGAGGATGAAGAATTTGATGTAAGTACTTAATTACGTGAACATTTTTTATACTGTGAGATTTATGCAAAGAAGGTTTGAGTTAATTTTTACCTTTCCTTTCTCCTTCTATCCTTGAAAGGGAGTTGTTGAAGCAGATTTTGCCTTCTTTGATCCAAAACCAGAAGACTTCCATGGTGTGAAAACGTTGCTGCAATCCTACCATGATAACAAGGAATGGGATTTGAGCGGCTTTGTAGACTTGATATTGGGACAAACCACTGTTGGAACTGTTGTTAAATTAGAGGATGATGAAGACAAAGGAGTTTTTTCTATAATTACTGCCCTTAATTTGGGGAGATATAAGGTAAGAAAGTTATTCTTACATGGTTGCAGATGCAGTGACTAGCTTGCTTATTGTTAAATTAATCTCTGGAATTTTAGGATGTGAGCTTTAAGCTTTTGATTAACTTGTTGAACTTCCCCGTTAGCTGAATTAGTTGCCTTGACTGACACTAACTTTAAATTGACTTACTGAAAAGTAATCCTTACCGTTGATCTGCTAAATTATGCCATTCTGTTTTTTCCATCTTTGGAAATTGAATTGATTAAATCGTCTCCTTGTACTTGATTGTATAGAATCTGAGCTCAAATCCATAGAGAGAATGATATGTCAAGTTAAATGACTAATATTATATGACAAGATTAGGTAGTATGCAACCATATCGGCCCAAATTCTCATTTTTCACTAAGTACTAGTGTCTGACACTTGTGTTCACATATATGATAATATGATTCTCCAAGGACCCTCCAAATCTTGGGGAAAAAATAAACATAACAAATAGGGACATACTGTTGCCAACACTCACACCTGAGTCTAAGTGACAGAAGTATACAAAACTTTTTAAAAGAATCTTTCTTGCTATTGAATGATTTATATGAATAGAGTATGAGAGTTCCCCGAACCTGAAGCCAAGTTGTTGATGACATCAAGTTTTATTTATGGTTAATGCTTTATCTAAATCTCTCTTATACTTTCTCAAACCGTGGGTGCTTGATAAATTTTATCTGTTGAGGTGCTATTTCTTATGCGAACATGCGAATCTCTTATACACCAAATGGGGTAGCTAACATTTTGCGATTGTTGTTATCTAGGATCACAAATGTATTTCAGAGCTCAAGGAGTTCCTTCTTAAATTATGCCTGGAGAAAGATAAAATAGGAAACTTGAGATCACTTTTGGGAGATAAAGCACAGGATGTGGGTCTCTTGGTTTCCCAACGTGTCGTGAATCTTCCTCCTGAACTCTTGCCCCATCTTTATGATGCATTGTTTGATGAAATCTTGTGGGCTACAGAAGATGAGGTTTGATGTTGATTAATATTTCAAGTATCTTCAAAACCACTTATAGGTAGTAGTTAACTTATATCTTATTGTTTCACTTTTTGAAGCCCACGGAGGAGTTGCGTAATTCCTTCCGGTTCAAATTTTACATTGTAGTAAGCAAAATTTACAAGGTATAAGATCGTCCTTCTGCTGATTTTATTTTTCATACGAGCATTTTGATTATTCTTCCCCTGACCTGGAGGCGAATCTACAGCACAAGAATGCAAATCAGAAAAGGACTTCAAGCACCGACAAAGATGATGCTTTCATATATATTAAGCCAGAAGAAGAGATTTTACATAAGGTATCAAATCATCGAGGCATGTACTGCACAATGTTTTATGTGTCGATTGACCGACATAAGACTGGCTTGCTTCCGTTTTTACTTTCTAATGATTTCCTTCTAAAACACATTTCAGCTGAGCATGTGGTCCTTCCTTTTTCCTTTGCAAACTCAGCAGGTCGTAGCTCACGAGGTTAGTAGGATTCAACATCAAATTTATTATCATCAATCCATTTTAGTTCATCTCTAAAACTGTCTTGATCAATGCTGTAATTATACTGTCAATCTTTGTTGCAGCTAAAAGATTACCAGCTAAATGGGATTGTCATGGCTGTCAAAGCGGAAGGCATTTCCTCATTCCGACAGCAATTGCGTACTTTGATAAGCGAGTCCTGAATCTCGTAGAAGGAATGCAAAAATTTTGATACTGTGGCTACTACTTTTTGTTTTTGTTGAACTTGGAAGATTCTGCACAAGTTTGGTCCTAGTAAAATGTTCAAGATGCAGTCTGGTAATGGCCGGTGATATTCTTGTACCACTTGCGTTGAGGTGAGACTCCAATTTTGTACGTTTAGCCAACACACTGGCCTGATTTTGGTGACATTTTTTGTTGGAATGAAATTGTTGTGTTATTCCAAATATTCATGTTTCTTGAAATATGGGGGAATTAACATCAGGGATGAAGTCAGAAACTATTTTTGGAGGGACCGGAATATAATTTTATTATTTCATTAACTTATATCTTTATAATTTTTAAGGGGTTAAATTGATTTTTTTTATTTAGGGGACCAAAATATAATTTTACCATTGCATTAACTTAAATTTTGCTTGTGTCAGGAGTTGAGAATTTAGGTTCAGGACCCATACAAGCTCAGGTGCTTATTGAATTTCAAGCAAAGCATCAAAATCAAAAGGTCTTCTAAAGTCAACTGCCCTCCAAAAAGTTCACCTTAGAGAGGTTCAATTTATCAAATAGGTAAGGGGACAAAAGATCCCCTGCCTGACCCCCTTATACCCTCTAAAGGAGCCCATCAAACTGCCATTCAAAGAGACAGTACTTTGAAGTAGTAACACAAATCCTTATCCAACCACAAAAGACATTAGGGAGCCCTACAACCTCCAGAACAGTCAATAAGAATTCTCAATTGACCGAGTCAAAGGTCTATTGAAGGTCAATTTAAATGGCACACATAGGAGAGACCCTTCCTAGCATAGCCTTAACTATCTCCTACAAGCAAAGTGTTATCAACTATATAACACCCATAGCTTGTATACATATCAAAATACGAGATAAAGATATCACATTAACTTAACAAACATTCACTGAACATAAATGCTTGAAATTTTGTTTCGTTTTAAAATATTTCTATTCTAACTTTAAAATTATTTCCTTAAAAACATATAATTATAAATTAATAGTTTGTCGTAGAAAATAAATTCATTTTTCAAGCAGAGATTAAATAGTTTAGTGTATTTTTAATAAATCATTTGGAACTGCTTGAATCCTGTTAACTATTCTACTCATGCATAATATTAATAACACTAGTCTAGACAATGTCATTTAATAACATAAAATATTCAACTATATATTAGTTGATTTATCGCAAGTCATCCTCGATCATAATAATTAAATAAATAAATTGTACTCACATTTGCCTAACTGTCAAACTTTTATATGTCAATTCTTTACTAGAGTGCTTTTTCTTTTCCTTTTGGATTGCTCGGATTGCTAGGCTTATCGTAATCTGATAACGTCATATAATAACATAAAATATTCAACTATATATTAGTATCGAACCAACATAATATAAATTTAATATAATAAAAGTCTATAAAAAAAATTGATATCAAGCTAAATCATTTTTTATCATTCATCCTTCAACTTTTACTAATCTCATAATCAAGCCACTATTTATGAATTCTTTCTAGAATTTACCTTAACTTTTTCCATTAAATTCATAAGATTCCTTCACTATTATGATCACTTTATATCAATTTCTAAAATTTACAGAACCTTAATAAAATGATCAAATCAACACTTTAACATTCAAAAACCTACACTTTCTTCCTAAAACTTTCTTAGGCTTTTCGAATTAACCACCATCCTTCATAAACTTACAATTTAATCCCAACACAATAATTAAACTAAAATATTCCAGAATTGTTCTAATTTACCCAAATGACACTTTCATATTTAAAAACTTGCAATCAAGTCCTTATATTTCTAGGACCCTTCGAATTCCACCCCAAATTTTACCAAATTTGAATTTTGGTTCCATACACTTTCCAACTTAAATTTCCAGCATTTCAATGTTAAAATTTAACATTGAACACCCCACTTACCAAATTCTTGCAATAATATCCTACAATTCTCAAAACTTGTAAAATAGCCCTTTTTCTAATTCAGGTATACAAATTGATCCAACTTGTAAATTATTGATATAAAAAACTTAAATTAGTATGTTTAAGTTTAAGCCCTAAATTATTGATATGTTTAAGTTTTAACTTAGTTGATATGATTGTTATTAGACTCATATTATAAATTAGTATTTAAAATATATCATTTTTCATTAAGCACTTAAAATATTTTTTGTTTAAAATAAGTAATTAAAGTTATTACTTAGCAAAATAGGTACTTAAAATATTAAATATTTTTTATCTAAATTTTTAAAAAGGATATGCTATTAATTAAAGAATAATTTAGGTACTTAAATGAAAAAGATAATATACTTTAGGTATTTATTTTGATAAAAATTACTTTAAGTACTTATGTTGTGCAAAATAATAATTTTAGATACTTACTAAAAATACTTTTAAGTGTTTAAATAAAAATGATATTCTTTATACATATATTTATAATATAAATTTTGTTATTAATATTGACGTGAATTCAAGTATGTTTATTTAAAGATTAAAAATTTAAAGTAAATTTTAAATCATGAATTAAATATAAAAAAAGTAAATTTATTTATATAAATTATTCAGATCGAGTTTAAATAAATTAAGAATATTTAATTATTTTTAACATAAGTAACCTAAAAAGTTTTGGTGACTATTTATACCGTGTATCTTTTAAAAAACATAATATGACTACTTTCGTTTTTATTTAATTAAGATGTAGTCATCAAGTTAACTACTGTTAAATCATTAACGATTTGCTGAGTTGACACGGTAATTAAGATATAGTCACTTTTAAAAAAAATTAAACATATATATTGTTTTTCTTAAATCAGTGAGAAAAAGTATAATTGACCCAATCTACATGAAAATGATGCATATTCTATTTTATTTAATTATCGTGTCAACTCAGCAAATTGTTAATGATCTAACGGTTGTTAACTTGATGACTACATCTTAATTAAATAAAAACGAAAGTAATCGTATTATGTTTTTTAAAAGATACACAGTATAAATAATCATCAAAACTTTTTAGGTTACTTATGTTTTAGTGAAGCCATTGTTAACATGTGTTGAAAACTGAAGTTACAAACGTGAGCTTCAATGATTGATGCACAAATTCACATGCAAACCTCATCTCCATTTGGAATAATTATGCGATGCGGCGCCTTAACATACGGCTAAAATAAGGTGTTATCAGTTTTGTTATTATTTTAAATAATAAAATTGGTAAAAAATTGACCGAAAATATCATTACTTTGACCGGTTATAATTATCTGTAAAAGTAAACGCGGTAAAAAAATTCGGTCAAAAAATGATGTTTTCGGTAAAGCACTACCTAAAACATCATTTTTTGACCGGTTTTTTTTATCGTGTTTACCTATAAAGGTAATTAAAACCGGTCAAAATAATGATGTTTTCGGTCATTTTTTACCGGTTTTGTTATTTAAAATAATAATAAAAAACCGGTAGCGCCTTATTTTAGCCGTATACTAAAGCGCCGCACGTGAGCGTTTCCCCTCCATTTGACCTAATTTTATTATTACTTATTTATACTTTTTTTACCGTGGTGATCATATCTTAATTAAATAAAAATAAAAGTGACTATGTATTAAATTTTTTGAAATCGGTAAGGAAAAGTGAACATAACATAAACACAAGTGATTAATTATGTAGTTAACCCTTTTTAATATATAAACGTTTCTTTCATTGCTCCTTCACTTACCATCTCTCAAATCTTTTCTTTTAAATTTCTTTGCTTGTTTCCTTTTTCTTTGCTTCTCTAGACTCCAACACACGCTCACTCAATTCTACTTCAAAGCACAACGATTGTTTTCTCAATCCAAATTGGGATTATTCAATGGATCAAAGTGATCCCTGCGAGTCATCGTTGAGTTCCATGGTGTCTTCTCCAGCAACATCCAATGCTACAACTCCATTGAATTCAATCCCGAAGCTCAATGTTTCATTGATGGATTCACATATCATAAAAAACTTGAATCTCCCATGCCCTGGATTTGTTGAGAGGGCTGCTAGATATTCGAGTTTCGGTGGTTTAAATTCTTCACTTGGATCTCGAGTAAAATTCCCAGATTCACTTGAGAAGATCCAAAACAATGGCAATGCCAGGAAAAGGAAATCGATTCATTGGGGAAAAGCGAAAGAAACTCCATCTATGGTGGCTGCTGCTGATGCCAAGGTAATGCTGTGATTCAGTTCTGTAAATTACTAGGATGTTGCTTGATTTATCAAATTCTTATAGCCCCGGAATTTCAGATTGTAGCTGAAAACGATGACTCGAATTCAAAAAGAAGCAAGCAAGATCGAGCTGATGAAGAACACAATGGCGATGGCGAAACAGAAAACGATGCCAATCGAAAGCAGAATAAGGAGAATTCAAAGGTAGCAGAGGCACCAAAGGACTATGTCCATGTCAGGGCAAGAAGGGGTCAAGCAACTGATAGTCATAGTCTTGCTGAAAGAGTATGAAACCCTCGAATCAATTATCTGTATTCATCCATTGCCTCGATTCAACCGGTTGAACAGAAAATTGATTAGCTGATTCGAATGAAAATCGATAGTAATTAAGCTTATACTCGTCATTCTCACCGTATATTATAAATTTGTAACATGTATTTTTCAGGTTAGAAGAGAAAATAAGTCAAAGGATGAAGTTTCTTCAAGATCTTGTTCCAGGCTGCAACAAGGTAATATATGTGTCCGACGTCGATAGGTCACGTATAATGTCCGGATTTGTTTCGAACATAGCGGTCGATTCATTTAGAAAATTGTGAGAATTCAAATATGACAACTACAATGACTGTAGGTTTACTAAATTCGGGTCAAATTTTTGTTGCAGGTGAACGGTAAAGCAGTTATGCTTGATGAAATTATTAACTATGTGCAGTCGTTGCGGCGTCAAGTCGAGGTAAACCGGAAGCTCCGACCGTCTCTGATTTCGTTTTTCGGTTTTGGTTGCATAGTAATACTTTCATGCTATGTTCTGCAGTTTCTGTCTATGAAGTTGGCTACTGTGAATCCAGGACTGGATATGAACATGAAAGCTCTTCTACCAAAGGATGTAAGTTGAACTCAGAGATATTGTTAATTTTTAATGGCAAGTCATCCGAATTTTCAAGAGAAAATATTGCATCCGTTGCATTTTGCAGATGTTCGAATCTAACAGATCTTTACCACAGACGTTTTGCTCGACCGATTCTTCCGCACCTCCATTTCGTTTTGGGTATCAGCACCTGCAAGGGTTGCCTATGCACGATGGCGTAACTGATAATGCAGATGCAGAGACTTGGTTCTCACGGAATCTGCTGATTTCGGCATTGCAAAGAGATCGAGGTCCAATCGATGATCTTACTAATGCTAGCCCTCAGGTAAACAAATGGAATCGGCTGTTTAGTTAGTGTTTTAATTCCCATTTCAAGTTTTTGAAGACCATAATTTGTGTTCAGGTTGGATCATTTTGGGAGGATGATGATCTACATAGCGTTGTTCAAATGGGACTTGGCCAAAATCAGTCACAGAACTATCAAGGTAAGCCACAACTCTGTTATTCGAACTACTCGTACTTAGGGTGTGAATGTCGGATAGGAATATATTTTCGAAACGAAATGTTTAATCCGATTTTCGATCCGATGCAGGTTCAACCAAGGTGAAAATTGAGATGTAATTTACAATTAGACAACACTTTTCCTAGTCCATTTTCAGAACCTCCATGAGAGTTGAGAACACAAGAGGCCTTTGTACATAGAGGAATTATATATCTATTTGGTCGACATCTTTTTTCATATATTAAAAAGATTGTATTTTCAAAATCATGTTGGAATATGTACGAGACACGAATGCTTAAGAAAACTCATATGAAAAAGATTGTATTTTTCATAGAGGAATTATACATTTCTGATGCTAAAACTCGGAACCTTAGGAAATAACAACAATTCATCTACCAACAAGGTCGATTGATTCGTGCGGCTTCTTCATTTATTAAATTCATCAAACAAAATCAGTCCGAGTAATTAGATAACTGACTGATCGTACCGAATCAACCGGACCAACCTGAGTCGTCGGATAATTGGTTGAAACTGACGGTTAGGCTGTTAGCTAGCCTTGTTTGTCGCTCGCCTACTCAACTCATTTCACCCGCTTATTTGCGTCTCATCAATCGTTGCTCACCGCTCACCTGTATATAAATCATGATCATTATCAATCAAAATGTACAAAGAAATCAAAATTAACAATGGCGAAGGCAGAGTTAACAATCCTCGCACTGTCGATGTTCGCAATGTTATTTTCGGTGGCTAATGGACAAGCAGCGGGAGGCATAACGGCGCTCGACCCGAAGACGAACAAAGAGGCGGAAGAACTAGGGAGGTTCGCGGTGGGAGAGCACAACAAGAAGGGTAATCAGGTGGAGTTTGTGCAGGTGGTGCAAGCCGCCCAACAGGGGACCAAATACTTTCTCAGGATCGAAGGTTTGGACAAGGGGCAGAAGAAGAAGTTTTCCAGTGTGGTTCAGGTTCAATCTGGAAAGAAGGAGATGCTTAACTTCAATTAATTAATAACATCATCATTTGGATTTTATTATATATATGGATCCATGTATCTTTATTAGACGTATTGCAATAAGATCAAAATCGTCATACATCGAATGTATATTTGATTAAACTACACGGGTGATCACTAAACTGATCAAAAATAACTTTGATATGTGTCACATTCTAATTGAAATAAACAAAATACTAACATTACTAACAACACACAGTAGTAAAATAGAACAGAAAGAGCCCGATCCCAAGTTTACCACCAAGATTTGAACAAGTCTCTTCTATGCATACCTTCAATTGCAAACGGAGTGGATAAGCGATAGGGGATGGGCATGGGTCGGGTTGGGTTAGATTTTTTGTCCACCCGACCCAATCCGAGATCCGACTCGATTCGATCAAAACAAGATTTCACCCGACCCGAATCCGATCCGATATAATAAAAAATATTATTTTTATTCAATAAAAAAATAATATTTTTATTCAATAAAAACAGTAACTTAATTGAAAAAATAATATATAGAGGTGTATTATTGTAATTATTTCTAAATATATAAAGTAAAATTATATATTTTTTTGGGTCGGGTCGGGTCAGATATTTTTATCCTAAACACGAATCCGACTCGACCCGATATCACATTTAAAAAACCCGACCCGATTATTGAGAACTCAATATAAGATCGACTTTCGGGCAATTCCACTGTTCATCCCGGTTAACTATCATTTTTTCACTCGAAGTTTTAACCATGTTAATTATCGTAGCTTTGTATTGAAAATTGTGTCAACTTTGTTCGATTTCCTTTTGAAAATCATCTCATTCCGTGCGATCCAGATACTCCACAAGGCTCCTGAAAACATTATATATCATGATTTTGATATAACATAAGTATATATTTATGTTGCGGAAGACGGCCATCGGATATAGTAAAATAGCAACTAATAATTTAAAAAAATAAAAATGAAGATAAAAGAGACACAAAATTTACGTGGAAAACCCCTAAATAATATAGGGTAAAAACCACGGGCAACGGTAGAAGAATTTCACTATGAGAAAATAGGAATTACAACTTCTCTCGATCTACCAAGGAGAAAACAATGATAATTCTCTCTTGATAAAAAGGAGAAAACAACTCTCAAGAAACTCTCTAAATTCTCTCTAGTATTAGAAGAAAGCTAGAATGCTTTGGGATGATTTTGAAGCTAAATGAGTTAGGATATTTATAGTTGAAGCTTAAGGACCAATTTGTAAATACCCTAAACTTTAGTGATTAAAGTTTGTAATTTGCCCTTTCTAAATGTCAACAAAAATCCAACAAATTTTCGGTGCGTTAAATTTGTGCACTTTCTGTGCATTTATGCACCACCCATATTTGACTTTTCAACAATCCCATACTTGAAGATTTGATTGGAACAATCATATCTTCTCACCATTCTTTTTACCTTGTACCTTCATGTTGCTTATGTTTCTAACAGGCCACAAGAGGATCGATACCACGTAAATTTATCAGTGTTGATCACATTCGTCATGAAATCTGCTATGTTGTCTTTGATATGGATCTTCTGCATATCTACCGTCTCTTCTTCCACCTTTTCACGAATGAAATGGTACTGAACTCGTATGTGCTTTGTCCTTGAATGAAATACTAGATTCCTTGCTAGATGCAAGGCGCTTTGACTGTCACAAAACAAAGAGACATACTCTTGATTGTGCCCAAGCTCCTCTAATAACATCTTCAACCAAATTGCTTCTTTATTGGCTTGTGTAGTTGCTAAATATTCTGCTTCTGTTGTTGACGTAGCCACAACTGACTGCAATTTTGAAACCCATCTTACAACTCCACCAGCAATTTTGAACACATATCCTATCGTAAATTTGCTTTTATCCAAATCCCATGCATAGTCAGAATCTACATACCCATTGATTAGTAAGTTTGATCCTCCGTAACATAATGCAATATTTGAGGTCACTTTGATGTATCTCAGGATCCTCTTTAATGTATTCCAATGCTCTTTGCCTGGATTCTCCATGTACCGACTAACCACTCCCATTGTTTGTGCAATGTCTAGTCTTGTGCATATCATAGTGAACATTAAACTTCCCACTGCTGATGCATACGGTACTCGAGACATCTCCATTATCTCTTCTTCACTGCTAGGACTCATACTGGAGGATAATTTGAAGTTAATAGGAAGAGGGGTAGAAATTGACTTACAATCTTGCATGTTGAATCTTGACAAGATCTTCTTCAAATAATTCTTTTGTGAAAGCCAAATCTTCCTATTACTTCTGTCTCGGTGAATTTGCATCCCTAGAATCTTGTTTGTTGATTCCAAGTCCTTCATTTCAAATTTCATATCCAGTTGTGCCTTCAATACTTCAATATGATCTTTGTTGGGTCCTGCAACCAACATGTCATCCACATACAACAACAATATAACAAAATTATTATCACCAGACCTCTTGAAATAAGCACAAGGGTCTGCATTAAGTCTGTTGTATCCAAGGCACATAATTAAATAATCAAATCTCTTATACCAACACCTCGGCGCCTGCTTTAGATCATACAGAGATTTGTTTAACCTGCAAACCAAGTTATTCTTTTCTTTTTCTTCAAAACCTTCAGGCTGGAGCATATAAATCTCTTCTTCAAGATTTCCATGAAGAAAAACTGTTTTAACATCTAGCTGCTCTAGATGTAAGTTCAATGTAGCACACATTGTCAAAACTACTCGAACTGTTGTTAGTCGAACCACAGGAGAAAAGATTTCATTGAAATCAATACTTTCTTTTTGAGCATATCATTTGACCACCAGTCTTGCACGATACCTCTCCACTTGATCGTCACCATTTCGCTTGATTTTGAAGACCCATTTGTTACCAATTGACTTCCTTCCTTGTGGTAGTGGCACAAGGTCCCATGTATTATTTTTATGAAGGGCTTTAATTTCTTCTTGCATCTCCATCATCCACAGTGAAGCATCTGAGCTGTTTATTGCCTCCTGGTATGTTGATGGCTCACCGTCCTCTGTTAAAAGGCAGTATGCAATATTTCCTTCTATAACATAATCTGAGTGCCAATTGGGACGTATTCTCACATGATCTGATTGACGAGTTATTAGAGCTTCAGAACTCTCTAGTTATTGTTCATCATGTGCTGGTTCTGCTTCAGAAGAATTTCCTTGTTCAAACTCCTTGTCCACATGTATTTGTGTAGTCTCTAACTTTTCAGCGCTATCATCGTTTTCTTTTCTTTGTAGTTTATCTTCTACAAAGATAACATCCCTGCTAATGATCACTTTGTGGGCAGTGGGATCCCACAAGCGATACCCCTTTTCACCATCAGCATACCCCAAGAATTTGCATTTCCTGAATTTTGGATCCAACTTTGAAATTTCTTGGGAGTTGTACATCACGTACACAACACTTCCAAATACATGGAGGTTTGAATAATCAATTGGTTTACCAATCCACATCTCCATTGGTGTCTTCAGTTGCAGTTGATGGAGCTCGATTCACCAAATAATAGGCGGTATTGACTGCTTCTGCCCAGAATGATTTTTCTAGGCCTGCATCCCTCAACATTGCTCTTGTTCTTTCTAACAAGGTTCTGTTCATCCGCTCTGCCACTCCATTTTGTTGAGGAGTGTTCGCCACTGTGAATTGTCTTTTGATGCATTCTTTCCTGCAAAAGTCATCAAATTCTTCGCTTATGTATTCTCCTCCATTATCTGTTCTGAAACACTTGATCTTATTTCCAGAATCAAGTTCCACCCGCGCTTTGAAGTTTTTGAAAGTTGAAAACACATCTGACTTATTCTTAATAGGGTATACCCAACATCTCCTGGAGTAGTCATCAATAAATGAGACAAAGTACTTTGCTCCGCCTAGGGATGTAACTGGTACTTGCCATATGTCAGAGTGAACCAATTCTAGAACACTTTTGCCTCTGGAATTTGATGTGTTGAATTTCAACCGGTGCTGCTTACTTGTTATGCAATGCTCACACAAAATAAGTGATACCTTTGTTAAGCCCGTAAGTAGCTTTTGCTCCACAAGGACTTTCATTCCTTGTTTTGACATGTGTCCAAGTTTCTGATGCCATAGCATTGCAGAATCTAAACTACATGAGGCAACAGAGGCTTCTGCTTCTAGCAAAGTCTCTCTCTTCAACATGTACAAGTTTGCTGCTATCTTTTCGCCTTTTAGCACCACAAGCGCTCCACGAAACACCTTCATGATTCCTTTACGTGTTTCAATCTTGCTTGCATTATTATCCAACAATCCATAGGATAATAAATTTTTCTTCAGGCCTTTCACGTGCCGCACATCTCGAACAACTTTAATTGTTCTATCATACATCTTCAATTTGATAGTTCCTACGCCAACGATCTCTAAGGCATGATCATTGCAACTATACACAGATCCTCCTGAGACAGGTTCATAATGATGGAACCATTTTCTTCTTGAGGTCATGTGATATGTTGCTCCTGAATCAATGAGCCATATATCTGCAAATCTTTTTCTGTCTTCCATGGTGGTTGACGCTTCATAGCATAGAGCATCTCCATCATCTGAAGTGTTTGCAGTATTGCCTTGTGGATTGGAGTTTTTATTTAGACTCCAACAATCCTTCTTCAAGTGACCATTCTTTCCACAGTTGTAGCACTTTAAATTCTTCTTGCTCCTCAACTTCGATCTATCATGTTTGTCACTGCTGCTTTGGCCACGTTCTGTTGATCTCTCTCTCGTCGTTATCAACGCTTGTGCTTGTTGCAGATTTACTTGTCTGTCTTCCTTGTTCTTGTGCCGATTTTCTTCTTGTAGAATAGCAGCTGCAACGTCATCAAAGACTAGACTGGTGACATTACTGTTTTTCAAGTTGATGATGAGTTGATCATACGAATCCAGTAGACTTTGAAGTAGAAGTTCAACACGTTCTTGTTCTCCTATTGTACATCTTAAAGATGTAAGCTGAGAAAATAAAGTGTTCAGTGTGTTTAAGTGCTCCATCAC